CCCCACTTTGTAAAACAGTTTGGAAGTTTCTCAAAATGTTTAAGTTGGAGTTACCATATGACCTTGCAATGGTACTCTTGGGGATATACCCACTAGAAATGAAAGTATACACTCATGTGTTCATAGCAGCACTTTATATAACAGCCATAATGTTGAAACAACTCAGATGTCCATCAGCTGCTGAGTGGGTGGACAAAAGTTGTTATATCCATAGAATGGAATATGAATCAGGCATAAAGAAAAAAAAATGAAGTACTGATCATCAAATGAAGTTCAGTGTGGATGAACCTTGGACAAATTAAGCTAAGTGTAAGAAGCCACACACAAAAAGCCACATAGTGAGTGATTCCATTTATATGAAGTGCCCAGAGAAGGCAAATCTGTAGAGATAGAACATAGATTAGAGTTGCTGAGGGTGGAAGGGACTGATGGGTACGGGGTTTCTTGCTGGTGTGAAGGAAGTGTTCAAAATTGATTGTGGTGTTGGTTGCATAATTTGATGAATCTACTAAAAACCATTGAATTGTATACTTTAAGTGGATTCATTATATGGGATGTAAATTATATCTCAAACCATTAAAAAGAAGAAAATCAAACAAATTTCAGTAAGAACAGTGAGAATCTAGGGCATTTGAGTGATAGTTGGTTCCCTAACCCCTTTTCCGTCCTGCTCCCTGTCACAGAGGCTGTACCCTAGGTGGTTGCAGCCAGGAAGATGGGCCCTTCCTCTCTCCCTGGCATTTAGGTTGGGGCCATGCTTTCTTCCTGGCAGAGGCAGACTGCTGGAATGTCTGAACCTTCAGAGCCTTGTGTTGCAGCAGTTTTATTCCGGGCAGGCATGAGTGAGAGGACCAGATCACTCTTCCTCCGCCCAGACCTCACTTGTAATGCTGACGCTCTGTGCCAGTCTTGGTAGGTCAACAAATGTGGGACAGTTGCTCCTACCCCAGAATACCAGAGGTTGCAATGCCCCAATGGCCACTTACAGAGCAAGATTATTGTCCTGGAAAAAGTGGGCCTCCACACCCAAATCCAATCAGGGGCACAAGGTTTCTGGCCAGGACGAAGGGCAGGCTGGCCTTCAGGGGAAGGAGTGCTGTACTTCTGCTTGAGGAGACTTACCTTATGTGGAGTAGAAAGTGGAAAATTCCATGGTGAAGGGCATTGTTGACAACAATATGAATCTGGGGGAAGAGCGATTAAGAGGAACCTGGTACCTCTATGATACAATAACATGGCATGGCAGCCAGAAGTTTAAAGTAAAGAACTAGAGAGAGAGAGAGCCAAGAGGAACCCTCATGGGGTCACAGTGAGTCAGTGATGGGGAAGGCTGTGTACTTGTGGTAGGCGCAGCCACTCAAGAGCAACTTGGGCAGGATGTGAGGCAGACGGGAAGCGTGCCCCAAGCTACACGCTACACACACACACACACACACACACACACACACACACACACACACCCCAACGCAGAGCGGAAGCCTTACTAGCCTGAGGGGCACAAACACAGCCAAAGACTGACCGAACATTAAGGTATTCTGACCCGGAGGTGATTTCTTGGAAGCCAGGCTTCAATATAACATCACAGTCATGCCTGACAGTCTGTGTGCGGGCCGCAGGATGCACCCTCCCAGGCGTCAACAGAAAATGAGGTGTGGCTGAAAGGAGTTTGTTGTGAATAACAGAAGACTTCCATTTCACCTTTCTGACCCTGGAGTTATTTCAGGAACTGGGAACAAAACTAAACAATATAGTAAAAGGTGGACTTTGGACTCTTTGAAGGGAAATTACAAGGGCTTTAAGAGCTATGTGCCTGACTCATGGATAAAGACTAGATATATTTCTTACTATAAATCACAATATCACAGTGTGCCAGTCAATATTTTAAGGATACATTATCCCAGAGTTTTCAGATAATTGGACATACATAAGAGGAAATAATAGAACTAAGTCCCTGCCATATTGCTTATATCAAACAAATTTTAGATTGATCAAAGAACCATAAAAAAAGATGAAAAAACACTGGAAGGAAATGGGAATTAGGTATTTTATAATCTTGGAGTAAAGAAGGTCTGACCCAAAATCTAGGAGTCCCAAAGCAAATTAATTGGTACATTTGATCACTTAAAAAAATATAATTTTGTTTCTACGAGCATGATTAGGAGGTGAATGACAAATTGGCAATAATAATTTGCAACATGTATGACAAAGGGATCATTTCTGTAATTTAGAAAGGACTATTACAAATCACTATGGTCAATATAGACAACGTAATGTAAAAATGGACGCATGATGTGGAAAGGCCTTCTTAGGGAAAGAGGTACAGGTGGCTCATAAACATATGAAAAGATCCTTAATCTTATTTAAAATTAAAGAAATGCACGTTAAAATAAGTTGATAATGCCTCTCATTGGGAAGATACTGAGAAATAGGCACTTATACTGGACATGGTATTATATATTGGTAGGACTCTTCAGAGCAATTTGGTAACACTTGTCTAAAAATAGATGTTCATATCCTTTTACCCATCAAACCTATCTCTAGCAGTTTATTGAACAGGTATACTTGTATGTTTATGCAAAGATATATGAGTGCACATACAGGGATGTATACTATACTGTTATCAGTAATAGCAAAAATAACCTGTAGGTTTTAGCAATAGGGGACTGGTTAAATTAATTAATGGTACATCTAAACAATGTAACAAGTAAGTTATATAGCAGCATGTGTACTATGATCCTATTTGAATTGAAATTTATAGACATGTAATATGTATTTTATATAAAAATATTTTTTTTAACTTTTTTGATATTCAGTCTTGTCTAGGTGCTGGGAATACACTGGTGAGGACAAAAACCCCACCATGTCTCCTTTCACAGGAGAACTTAAATTGTGTGAAATAGACACTAATAAAAGACCTATTCAAATAAATATTGAATCATAATATAATAATAAAAGACTTATTCAAATAAACATAGAATCATAATGTAATAATTATTGAGAAGGATCTTACAGAGGGAATTGATATAGTCAAGGGGGCAAAGTGAAGGATGACTTTTCTGAAAAAGTGATAATTGAACTGACATCTAAAGAAAGTATTATTAGTTTTATATGTTTTAGGATATAATTTTGTCTTGTATTATCTATTCTCCCATTTCTTCTCTCTATTTAAGCACTCTTTCACTGGTGTTCCACTTCATCATTTTCCATGAATTTATTTTTTATTTTATTTTATTATTTTATTATATTTTATTTTATTATTCCATTTATTTTATTTTATTTTATATCAGAAATTTTTTTTAATGTTTATTTATTTTGAGAGAGAGACAGACAGAGTGCTAGCAGGGGAGGGGCAGAGAGAGAGGAGGACAGAATCTGAAGCGGGTTCCAGGCTCTGAGCTGTCAGCACAGAGCCTGATGCAGAGCTTGAATCCACAAGCAGTGAGATCATACCTGAGCTGAAGATGGAGGCTCAACCGACTAGGCCACCAGGTGCCCCTCTTCATCAGCTTTTAAATATGCTTAAGTTTCTTATGTATTAAAAAAAAGCAAAACTCTTATCCAACTTCATTCTTCTTTCCAACTTCTTCCCTTTATTTCTTCTTCCCTTCTTACCAGGAAAGGGTTGTCTAAACCTCCTGTTTCCACGGACTTACCTCACATTCAATTAGGACAAAAAACAAAATTCAGGCTGCTGCTTCAACCTAATCCAGTCTGAGTTATAACAGATTTCATCAAGGTCACCAGTGACCTCTATGCCCGTTGAACAGTATTTGGTCTCCATTTTGTTCGAATATTCTGTGACATTAGACATAATTGACAACTCTGTCTTTGGAATGTTCTCAGTTTTCATGACACTATACTTTTCTGTTTTTCTTTCTCTTTTTTCAATCTTCTTTGCTGTTTTTTTTTTTTTTTTCTATTAACTTCTGTAGTTCCTTAAGGCCTTGTCCTAGGTTCTTTTCTCTTCTTGCCTAATGTCCTGTAGGTAAGCCTCAGGAAGTATCTGCATGTGATTTCCAAACCTATTCCTGACTTCTGAGTTTTATACCATTATGTCCAGCTGCCTCCCATATTTTTCTATTTTATTTGTTCTTTGTTAATTCAAATTTATTTATTTAAAACTTATTTGTCATGTGTTGTGCTAGTGCTGGGAATGTCCTGAAAGCTATTTCCAATGGAATGTGATCGAAACTGAATTCAATTGTTATCCCTGCCAAAAAAAAAAAAAAAAGAAATCCCAAGCAAGTAAATAAACAAAAACAGCCAATATAAGATTTTTTCTACCTTTATTGTTCTCACTGTAGTACTGAAATCTGCCAGTTCTTCTAGCCTGAAACTTGGGATCCCTCTTGACTTCTCCTTCTACCTAAGCATTTACCCAAGGTCATCAATTCTATCCAATCCAATCCAGTCCAATCCAGTTACATCAAATCTAGTTTAATCTGTTGAAGTCTTAACCCAATGCAGTGTCCCAACGCCTGGCTGTTCCATCTTCTAAATATGTTGATCCCATCCTTCCTTTTCACGACTAAGAGCCTTGCCTACGCTACCATTTCCTCTGTGTAGGCTGCTGCAGTTCCTTCTGTGTGGTCATACTGTATTGACTTTTGACCACCATCTGGCCATTTGCCACATGACTGCAATTTTGATCTTGTAAAGTGTTTCCTAATTCCTCTTTGTCTCAATTTTCTTATCTGTAAAATTGGGATAATAATAGCCCTTCCCTCTTGGGTTGCTGTGAGGATAAAAATAATTATTATGTTTAAAATGGTGTCAAGCACTAAGCTCTCAATAAATCGTTATCGAGACCTTACACAGAATTACATTCAGCCAAATCAAAGGTATGATTAAGACAGAAAGAGGTTTATTAATAATAGATTTGAATGGAGTAATTATTAGCTTGTTTATACTTAATAGTGCCATGTATGTTATGTTCACACAAATCTATAACTCTTATAATACATGACCTTATTATGTGTAATTGTTTTCTTAATTAAAAGGCTAAGAAGCACCAGGCCTTTCTAGTAGAGACATGTGAAAATAACGTGAAAGAATTGGAATCGATCTTGGACAGCTTTACTGTGTCGGGCCAGTGGACATCAGGTTAGTTGAAGGTATAAGATGACAGTTGCATCTGTCAGTGTTCCAAAGTCACTACATTTTGGGAATTCTGCAGATGCCTCTTCCAGTCCCTTATCTCAACGTGTTTCGATTTGATGACATGATAAGAGCGGTTCTCACAGCGGTCAGTTGGCCTAGCTGGCTGAGAAAGGGTGACGGAATGTGGACCTGCTGCTGCCCTCCCAGAACTTGATTTACAAGTGTTGGGGTCTGTATGATTGGACAGACAAGGGCTCACTTGCTGTGTTCTGAATCCAACTGAGAAAAGAGTCCTTACAGTATACCTGCGAGGGGAACAGATGTTTCCATCAAACTGAGCCAAATTCTGAGGCAACCTTCAACAACTTAAAGGTCATGCATTCAAAAGGTTATGTAGGACACAGCCTGTAACATAGTGCATATGCTAAGCTGGTTTTCGCCTTCGCTTTCTGCTCCCCTACGTACACTCTGCAGGTTGGAGTGCTTAGGAAAAATGTTTTGGTTTTAGTATTAGCGTGGCTATTAAGATAAAGAAGTATAAAAATTGTATATTAGGTAGGCATATTTTGGGAACTAGTGGAAACATTGGCTGGCTAATGAATGCTGTTCACGATTTTCTTCTTCCTTCATTTTTTTGTGTTTATGCCATTATGTTTGTCAGAGTAGCTTTCCCTTGAATACTTTTACTTTTCTACCTCAATTTTCTTTTTTCCTACTGTCAGCATCGAGTTATTTAGTTGTTTTCTGACCCAACTGTGTTCTTCAAAAAGCATGTAAAATTAAATTCATTACACTTTAAAATTGAACTCCTGGACTCAGTTATTTGAAGGAGTCAAACAGATATTTGGCAAATGAGGGCTTTAGGAACTTGTAAGTTCAGGAACATTTGTTGTGCTTTAAAAGCAGAGGGCTATATGATCAGGGCCCATTTGTACCTTATAGATCTGCAGATTTGTGCTGGTGAACTGTTAGAAATTTAGTGTGTTTTTCTATTATCTGTTTTTTTTTTTTGTCTCCTGTTTTCCTTTATACTATTTTAGACATAATTATAAAATTAACAGGTAACTTTTTTTTAAATTAAAAACTTCCCCCCAAACATTAGTGTTTCATGGTTTGCTACTATGGAAAAATCAAGGTGTATAAAATGGCATAAAAATATAGATATCCTTGGGGTGTCTGGGTGGGTTAGTTGGTTGTGTCTCCGAACTGGGCCCAGGTGGTAATCTTGCGGTTCTTGAGTTTGGGCCCTGTACTGTCAGTTCAGATCCTGTGTCCCCCCTCCCTGCACTTTCGCTGTCTCCTCCCACCCCCGTTTGTGCTCTTCCTCTCTCAAAAGTAAATACACATTAAAAAAAAATAGATATCCAGTGTTCAGTTATATTTGGTAAAGCTGTGGAGACTGAAATTTTCTGCTGTAAGGCTGAGATGTGTTGCTTAGTGGTGTTATGAGCTTTAAAAATGGTTAAATTATCATAGTATATCTGATATGTGTTACTTTAAATATTTCCTCAGAGCTGAATTCAAAAAACTAAAAATATTGAGGTCATATCTCCTTTGAATTTTAAAATGAAATAGTTGATAACAAAGCAACTCACAAGCTATCACTAAGCCTATAGGAAAAGACTATTAACGTTTTTCTTTTTCTTTTCATCTTTCAGTAATCATCTTTTTTAAACTCCTGGTTTCCCATATAAATGCACACTCTATATATCATAGAGAAGACATTTCTGGAAAAGGGACCGCATGGTGAATTGGTGATATTTCTATTGCTGTGGAGTGGGTTTTGTTTCCGTACGGTGCTGGTTATTTACTCTTTTGCCCACCAAGAGCCATTTTTCTCTGAACTGTGGATATTTACAGAAACGTGGACATGTTCAGAGGACCAGTAAGCTAGGATAGGGCAGCAAGAACAAGTAAGAGTGGGAGACCAGTGCCCTGTCTTAAGCCTTACGGGCCCAGTGGAGGGCACATTGTCACAATACAAGCCACAGCTGTGGAAGGGAACATGCCTGACAAGAGGAGCGGCTGCCCGGAATGCACCAGAGCAGAGGAAACAGAGTAATCAAACACCATGACCTTCTTTTCTTTCCTTTTTTCTTTCTTCCTCCACCCTCTTAACCTCCTGCTGCTGCACTCACTGTCCAAATCCAGCCAGAAGCCAGAGGGCAGAGGAGCCCAGATCACGCAGTCTGTAGAGGTCAGCCTTTACAAGGCAAAGCGTTTTTTGTTAAAGTAATGTAACAAAATCTGCCATTTCTGGAAATATCTTGGTTAAATTCTCATCTGATGAACTCTTCTGAGTGTGCCATCTCTTTTCCTGCTGGCACCCTGACTCATACCTTTACATGCTTGGGACCAGCTTTCCCTCTGGCCCTCGGCTTCCACAAAACAGCCCTGTAAAACTGTGAAGCATTCCCTGAACCAGTGTAAGGTTAGGGCTTTGTTACTTCACCCAAGAGGTATATAAATAATAATAATAATAATAATATATATCATACAATAATATATATAATATGATATATAAATAATATAAATATAAAATAATATAATAAATATTATATTTTAAATAAATAAATAATATAATAATATAGAAATAATAAATATCTATAATATGTTTAATTATATAATAAATTGATATTAATAAAAATGAATGTATATCAATTATTAACAAATTAATATATATCAATTAATTATATCAATTAAATATATAATATGCTTGATATTTTATGGAAGAACCCAGACAATTATGATCGTCTGCTATGTCAGGCTTGGCTTCACCTACACAAAGTTGAACAAATATTTTGTTCCTTGCAAATAAAGTAATGTAAAAACATATCCGAGTCTAACGTCCTGTGCGTCTGTGTGATATAAACATGTATATATCTCACAGTATATATGTTTTTGAAGAAAAAGTCTATTTCAAATAGAAACATATGTGATGATAGCTTAGCCTTAGAATTTGCTACAAAGTCAATTCAGTTACCTCCAGAAAGGTTTTCAAGAGAGCTCATCTTGTAGACAATACTGCTTTACTTCTTTTTTACCTCTTCGTACCTTTCAGTTCAATATATTCTCGGTATCTACTCCCCACTTCAGGAGAAGCAATCTATGGTAGAGATTTAGATGGGTACAAAATTGTTTGTTTTGACTTGGATTTTAAAATGGGATGAAGGAAAATGACTTTTTCAGATGAACTTTAGTCCAGAGTTGACAGTACCTGCCAGGTGTTCTAGTCCCGTCTTCTTCAGCTTCTGTGGACTTGTACGTTAAGAAATATTTCTGAAGCAAGAGTAACCCTTCAGCTTATCTTCATGTGAGGATGAGGCAAAGTTTCTGTTGGTCCAGGACATTCAGCAGTTTATTTACTTAGAGGATTTAATGTGATTTTCTCACCGTTGATCAGTGTGACAGTTCCCGCCTCATTTCCTAATGCCTCCGGACTCTGCCCCCCCTACTAACCGGTCTCTGCTTCTCCCTGGCTTTCCCTTCAGCCCATTTTCTCTACAGCCACCATCAGGATCATTTGAAAACCTGTCAGAGCATGCCATTCCTTTGCTTTAAATCTTATTGGGCTCTGCATTTCACTAAGCAAAGTAGCCAAAGTGCCAGCAATGGCTTTCTAGACCCTCCATGGTCAGCCCCTATCCTTGATCACCCCTTCGACCTCCCCTCTACCTTTCTCTGTTTGGGCCACTTTGGCCTCTTGCTGTTTCTCGAGCCCACCAAACGTGCTCTCGCCTTGGGGGCCTTTGTGCAGGCTGTTCTTTCTACCTGGAAAGTTCTCCACATAGATGTGTCTGCATAGCTTTCTCTCTTGTCTTTTTAAATTTTATTTATTTTATATTTTAAAAATTTTTATAAGATTTTTTATTTTTTTTTAAGAAATCTCTACCCCCAACAAGGGGCTCAAACTCATGACCCCAAGATGAAGAATGCTCAGATCTCACCCCATGAAGGCTACCCTCTGCTCATTCCCATGTCACTAGTCTCTCTACCTCTCCCTTTTCCGCTCTACTTTTTTCTTCCCCATAGGACTTATGTCTGTCCAACATTTCTACGACACTACATGGTGCACTTATTTTATCTGTATTAGTTGGAATTCTCCAGAGAAGCAGATCCAATAGGATATATATAGGAATGGCTCATGTGGTTATAGAGGCTGGGAAATCCCATGACCTGTGTGGCATCTGCAAACTGAGGAATGAGGAAAGCCGTTGGTATAATTCAGTCTGAACCCAAAGGCCTGAGAACCTAGGGGTTCCTGGGGTCTAAAGGAGGAGATGGAAGTCCCAGCTCAAGAAGAGAGAATTTGTCCTTCTACTGCCATTTTGTCTGTAGTGAGGGGTCGGGAGGCAATGGATTGGATGATGCCTGCCCACATTGGTGAGGGCAGATCTTCTTTACTCAGTCTGCTGATTCAGAGTGTGAATGTCTTTCAGAAACACCTTCACAGACACACACAGGAACATTTTGCCAGTTCTACACACATCCCTTAGCCCAGTCAAGTTGACACATAAAATTAATCACTATCATATCCAAGCTCCACGAGGGCAAAAACCTTCGTCTCTTTTATTTGCCAATGTACTTTAGGCAGCTAGAACATTCCTTGGCACAAAGCAGTCACTCAGCGAACATTTGTTGAATATTAATGAATAAAAGTGTGAATGAATTAATATCAGGTTGAATGTCTATTTTGCATTTAAATTTTTGAGGTTATAAAGGTAGTCATGGAATCCCTTTCTCAATTATAATGGTGTTTTGGGTAGCATTCCATAAGGGGTAACCAGGAAGATTGACCGTAAGTGGAAAAGATGTACAATCTTAAATCGGCCATAGAAATGTCACCTTGATTGCCTACTCTTATTAGGCAAGATTGTCTCAGTTTGCTTGAACAGGGACATTTATTTCCTATGTCTACTTTCCACCAACACTGAAGTACTACAGCTGTTCACATTTCCTTTTCTGGTGAAAATTCTTATAGTGGGGTGTGTATGGGGAGAGAT